GGGGGGGGGGGAGTACCCAATTCTTAGGTCTTACTTGCACTTGGGAACGTAGGGCTTATGTAGGGTGCGCAGCTTAAGATTCAGGGTTGGGTTGGGGTCCCAGTCTCAAGCCAAGTAGGAACTCTAGCTCTAAAAACTCATATCCTACAGCTGTGATAGTTTCTGCATTGCCAGAACGGTTTCAACATGCAACAATGCTATGTGGGCGTCGTAGATACTAGAAAGTGCACATACCCCCCTGAGCCGCTTGTAGTCCCCAGGTCCGTAACCCTACATCCTAAACCCTAATGCCTAATCCCACCCTAAACTCATGGGTTCAACCAGTACCCCCCTCTGTACTACCCCCCCTAGGTTCCCCCCCTTAATCAAGGTTATTTAGGGATAGTTAGGCCTAATTAAGGTTAATTAAGGGGGAATCTGGGGGGGGGGGGGAAGGCAAGAGGGCTGTACTAGTTGAACCCACGATAAACCCTAATAGGCCCTAAATCCTCGTCCGTACTCCCACTCTAAACCCTAATCCCTAAACACTAAACCCTAGCCCTAATCCCTAAACCGTAATCCCTAAACCCAGGCTTCCCTAGAATCTCTGAGTCTTAGCAGGGTCCTAAACCCTTAATGGCAAAAGTTCCTCAAGGCTTGAAGGTTTCGGGTTTGGGGTTTAGGATTTCGGGTTTAGGGTTTCGGGTTTAGAGTGTAGGGTTTAGAGTTTAGGCTTTAGGGTCTATGGGGAAAGGTGAAGTGCTACATGTCTGGCGGAAGGGTTGGGCTTTGGGGGCTCAGGTTTCCCACTACGAGGGTCCAAGAGCCTTAGGGAAGGCGGTTTAGGGTCTAGGGTTTCATGGGACCCAGAGATTTCCTCTGCAAAAGGGGCTTCTGGCCTTTTCATGTAATGTAGGGGTCCGGATTGGAACCATGTTCCTTATGTGAATTAGAATCTAAACTCCTTATATGGGGGGAGCATTATAGGAGTGATTAAGGGGGCAAAAGGACCCTGCAAAGACTGTCTGAGATTCTATATTCACCTAGGGGTGCCTGCCCCAAAGCCCCAATTTTTTAACCCAAAGCCACGGCTTCGTAAACCTCAGCCTCTTGGTTCCTAAACCCTAAATAACCTTAAACCCTCAACCCTAAATCCCAAACCCCAAACCTTCAAACCCTAAGCCCTAAATCCTGAACCCGTTAAACCTTACACACAGCCTAGGGTTGAAATCTATCTACATGGACCGGATCAAGAACGGCATTCTGAAGCCCTTCGCCCCTATCGACATCGTCAAGGATTTGGCTGGGGTGATCCCTAAACTGGCAACCTTAAATCCTAAACCCCAAACCCTAAACCCCCAACCCCAAACTCTAAACCCTAAACCCCAAACCCTAAACCCATATCCGTCTGCACGATTCAGGGTTTTTGGCTTAGGATGCTGTGGGGCATAGTAGTTCAGGGCTTGTGCAAGTAGTTGGTGCACAAGACTTAGGGTTTAGGCATAGTCACAGAATGACAAAAACCAGAGGACTATCCAGCATTGATTGGCCGCTTGTGTGTTTTGACTTGCGCTCCTTGTTCAGCTACCCAAGCCAACGCATCACCCGCAAATTGCCGCAAATGTCCTAATAATGCGCTATCCGTGGAACACTGCTTCGGAAGTTTCTCACTTCTCCATTATGGTCTCCAGGAATTGTCTATTTGGGTACTGCCCCCAGTGCCCCCCATTCTGTAATACTTGGAGAATATGTACAATATAGTTATATTATATAAAGATATTTATGCAGCCTGTATAATGACATATACTGTTACAGGGTTGGGAGCAGTACCAAAGGAATAGTCCTAAAGCCCGGCCATTGTGAACTCCTCAAAGTCTCGACATCTCTTCCTTGCAGCACTTAAAGCTTAAAACCCCAACACTATGAACGTTTAGGGTTCAGGGTTAAGGCTCAAAATCCGAACCATGAATCCCTAAACCCTAAACCCTAAACCCCCAAACCGTGAAGGAGACGGATACGACTGCCTTGGTGGATGGCAACATGGGCATTGGCCTCTATGTTGGCCCCCACTGCATGGATTTGGCTATCACCAAGGCGGATAGCACAAGGGTTCTTCTTACAGAAGCCCAAAGCCCTGAATCTAAACCCTAAACCTTTCAACCCTGGTTTGGGGTTTAGGGTTTAGGAGCCCTGAAAATTATCTGAGTAGTATTTTATTGGGGGATATCATGGTACCCATTATAGAGTAAGATTCTATCCTCCTTTGGGGGTATAGTATTTTATATAAGGAATATTATCTTACTAGGTTCAACCACAAAAAACACCACTCAGGGGTCTTCTTACAGATACAGGCGCGGGCTCCAAACCCTAATCCTCAACTCAAAAGGTAAATTAACAGCGTGAGCTTGAGGATAGGTTTGGGGTTTTTGGGTCTAGGCAGTTGTTCGACACGGGCTTAAACAGTTGAATCCAGGTTTCTGTGGGGCTTTAGGGTTTAGGGTTCAGGGTGGGCTTCCGGGTTTCGGGGTTTAGGCTTGAGGGTTTGGAGTCTAGCTGCTTGGATCATAAGTTGCGCCACGGAATCACGAAGGGTTGTGCAAAAAGGAAGGCATTATGTTGAGGAACTCCCATCTTAGAGCCTTGACCGTGAGTGGTTCTTGTGGGATGCGCAAGCAAGAAGGAAGGGTGTACTTCTGCCAATGCGCTCTATGCAGCAAAGCCCTAAACCCTAAATTTGAACTGTGTGAAAGAACCAGGTTATGAGCCATGGTCCCACTGGTCTTGGGCAATATACATATGTACCTATCCGGGTTTAGGGTTCAGGGTCTAGCCCTCGCAAGGACGACTGCAAGGCGTGATCGTACAGCAAGAGCCGAAATGCTTTATGAAGCTACTCCCCACCTAGAAGCCTATGCTAATTGGGAGTTTAACTGTAAAAAAGGGTCTGTCATGCACTCCTGCAGGGACAGGGCCTCAGTTTTTTGACCCTGAGCTCCTACTTGCAGGTTCATGGGACTTAGCAACCTACAACTTGGCTTTTTTACCGTACTGATCATCCTCTAAAGGACTTTGCAGGGGTTACCTAAATTATAAGCAGGGTTATAACCCGGTTCAGGAGGAGCAATCCTCAAATCATGAAGAGCCGTGGCCCTCAGCCCGAAATTCCCAGATACAGAACGCAAAGCCAAAAGCCCAAAACCAAAGGCATGCGATTTTTGCGCACTCCTCCTTTAGAGAAATTCAATTTCGGCCGAACCCAAACCGCGAATCAAGCCCAGGCCCCTAAAGCCTAAACTCTAAGCCCTAAATCCTAAGCGAATGCTAAATCCCAAACCCTAAACCCTAAACTAACCCTAAATCCTAAACCCCACACCCTAGAAAGGCCAAAAAACACGGGCTCGGCTTCGTGGCAGTGCGGAACTCCACCCACTACGGCATTGCAGGCTGCTGAGATAATGTTAGGGTTTAGGGTTTAGTTCATGGCAATTTCAAGCAAAAGTTCTGTGGCTTCGGGTTAAAGTTTAGGGTTCAGGGTTTAGGGTTGAGGTCTGTCTCAGCCCCCCACCCTAAACCTTAAACCCTAAACTTTTTATGAAGGGGCGAGTGAGTCCCAAACCCCTTCTCTAAATCTGGTGCCCAAAGCAATGTTATGAGCCCCAAGTATAGGACTATTTGTAGGGTCTCTGTAATCCTTTCCCTCGAAGCTGAAAACCCCTGCAGCCAAACATTGGATAGTCCGCATTTAGTATAGTACATTACATTGGGAATGTTGACCATTTTTAACTCAGGAGAGGGGCTGAATAGGTTCTGGAATCTCTGGCAGATGTAAGGACTGGACTACGGATTATGTTGGTCCTAACACAAAGCCCTGATGCCAGGATTGGGTGTAGAGCGAGCGCAATCTGTCATTCATGGATGCAAGGAGGGTTACAACATTTAAATAGTAACTGTCAAAGACTTTCTCTGGGCCCGAAACGCTGAACGTAGAGAATGGAGGACATCTTGCACCACTTAGGATCCCAAAGCTATTGTAATATTGGGGTGAGGGCTATATTAATTGTTGTAACATTTTCCCGATTCACAGTAGCAACTAGCCTCCGTCGTATGTATCTTATGGGATACTGCCTCCCTTCGTAACAGTTTGATATTGTTGCTTTTATGAATATACAAAGCCCTCAGTACTGCGCATGCTTGTGGATGTTCTGAGAGCAGGATACTACGCCACTATGGCCGTCGAGAAGGGCTGTGTTGGCTTCTGCGGGACCAACGCCCGGCCGTCCATTGCACCCACCTTTGGCGTGGCTTTTCCTTGTTTGCAGGTTGAGGATGGGCTCATGGGCTGTGTAGGTGTAGGGTTTACCGTGGCATTTTAGGCTATGGCACCACCGACCCCCAACCCTAGCTATCCAACATAAGAAAAAACTCCTCATCCAAGTCCTACATTTATCTAGGATACCGTTATCCCAAAAAACCATGTCACGCAATATGGTATATGCCATTTCCCCGATCTAGCAGTTACAGGAACGAAATCAGGAACACGATGGGCAAGGCGCAGCAACGAATACGCGACCTACCGTGGTGAAGGATCGATGCTCGTCACAACTACAGCATCGCTGAAGCCAGCGAGGACAGACTTGCTTTTGCATCTGCAGCGCACATCTTTCAAGTTCCAAGTAGCGAAAGGACAGCTCATGTTTTGGATTGTTGGCTGGCGGTTGACCAGCTGCACGTCCAAACTGTTGCTTTGACCGTTTGGTTTTCCTCCGGTGTGGCTCAGGACATGATCCAATTAGGCGGGGTTCTTTACGTCCCTTTGCTTCAGCCATGCCTCGGGCTACCATCGAAGCGGAGCTGACCCAGACGGATGAGGCTGTCAACATCCTGATTAAGCCTAAGGAAACGTCTGTCGAGTCTGTCGAAGAGGTTGAGGAGATGTTCAAGCCTGCCCAGAGCGTGGAGACCGCAGTTTATGTGGTGAGCACATGGTGCATGTACCACGGAGCTTCCTATCTCAATCACCTCCTTCATGAAGTGCTTCTTTGGGTGCTCAGCATCATAATTCGTTGTGTGCTGGCCCACTACCTCATCATGTCGACCGAAGGATCAGAGGATGCTCATGTCGAGACATGCAAAAACGCCTGCCAATTGGTGCTGCTTTGTGGAATGTTCCTCTTTGTCATGAAAAGGATGCAAGAGTTTCTGGACATATTTTACACATTTCTCTACTTCCGTGCCAAATTGGCACACCGTGTCCAAGAAGGGTTTCGTCCCAGAGAAGAGCTTCGTCCCCACAAAGTGCCTCTTTCCTCGCATCAGCCTGAGCTTGATGGAATATGGTCAGTTTGCTATGAACCTGTACCTTATCCTGACGACGTGCCCCCGGTGCCGCCCCGGATCGCTTCTGCAGCCGACCGTCGGACTAACTGTGCATGTTTGTTTGAGGACTTCGTGCTGTGCGTGACTCTGGCTGTGAAGTTTGCAGTGGAAGCTTATGTTTCAGTTGCCGGGGCGTTGTTCGTTGTGGCATCAAAATCCAATCAGGAAGTCATCTTGAACTGCCTGGCTGTCACCTTTGTGAGCGAGATTGACGAAATGATGTTCACATGCTTTTCGGGTGAGAAGGCGAAAAGGCGTGTGAAGAATCAGCAAGACATGACGCTGAACGAGATGTTTGGCACCTTCAGCGCTTCTTGCATCACCCCATCCCACATCATATTGTTCCTGAAGTGGATGATTCTTGGTGGCGGTGTCTACGTAGCCTGGCTTCAGATACATTGGTGTGAACAGATTCACAACGACGCCTACTATCCCATGGCGGTTGATGCCCGTGTCAAAGTACTCGCGGGTCCTTGAGAGAAAGTCACAGTCTCACCAAACTCGTTGGCGCTGCCTGCTGTATGTCCTTTTTCGGGTAGTTGGGTTTATTTAGGTGTTTGGTGATTTGGAGATGTTGTTGCGCAGAATGCCTTCTTATGCACAGCTCAGCGGGATGGTAGTTGTCGAACTTCAACCAAATTCACTTCACTTCTGTTGCTGTACAGTTTCCGTTCTGCACTGGGCATGGTCGGTGAAACAATGCCGCTCGGATGTGCCAGACTTGCACGTGTCATAGCTGCTGCCACCCGCCGCTATGTCTCCAAACAGCGCCTCGCAAAGCAGTCTGTGGCACAGATTGCCAGTTCTTGCAGTGTTCGAAACCCCTGCCGAGACCCTGCGAAAGTCACCCGCTCTGAAACCCCATCAATGCTACTGGCACAAGCCCGGGCACGAGGAGAGACCACAAAAAACACAGCGTCAATCTTCGGGCAATACAACGCTGATGGACTTCTACCCTCACCAGTGCCTTGGGTAAGTTGTTGAAAAACAAAAAGCAACAAAAAGACAATCTGTTTGCAAGCACAAGGGCTTCAAAACAAGAAAGACACCAAACCCACAACAAAAAGATTTCAATATCTCACAGACAAAACAAACGAACCAAAGCACCCAAATCAAGTTCGACACCTCGGGTCTAGTACATTTTGTGGCGCAGGATGGCGCAAACCATAACTTTAAAGGTCTTAATGTTATGTCTGTTTAGTTTAGGCGATCAGAACTGTTTTTTCAGCAGTGTTCCAATGATTTTGTGGGAACTGTGGTAGCATTTACATTACAATTCTTTCTGTCTATCCACTGTTTGCCTTTCTCTTCACCTCCACAACACATCATTGCATTAAACAGCTTTGTGAACATATCATACTTTTTGTTATGGTTTGAGTCACATTGCAGACTGACTCAGAACTAGGAAATCGAATCTCCAAATTGAGAATGAGCTTCTCAACATCATATAAGGTCAAATCATTTGTTTCAAGCCGGTCCTCCAATGCTTCCTCCTTGTGTTCAGTCCTTTGCGTGTTTTGCACCGATAAGCAAAGTGATAGATATTGGCAATGACATTTTCAGGCAACGGCAAATCGTCAAATGGTATAAAGGGCAATAGCGTTCGTGCTTTCTACACTCTTGGCATTTACACTTATGGCTCTTTCCCCTGCTTTCCCTTACGCAGTCGCTGACCTTGATAACGTCCAAAAAATCATTGATAAGTTCTTCCTAACATATATAGGTGCGATTTCTTTAAGTGTTTCTTAAGACACTTTTTCTCAAAAGAAAATTAAACCTTCAACAACTCAAATCGCAAATGTGCCCTATCAATACCTTCAACGTAATGGTATTTGACCCAATTGTTCATCAATTCTTTCTATGGTATAAACATTTTGGCTAAAATTGCCAACTCTCTCTTTTTCATTGGGTTTCCTCTTCCTAAATATTTTAACTTCATCGCCGACACCTAGATCAGGATACACCCGATTTCGTTCAGCATTCATATTTATATGCAGTTTAACTTTTACTTTGTTGCTCGGTTTTCTGGCATCCTTTGGGGTGA